GTGACTGTGAATGACAGCCTCTCATCAACTTTCCGTGCTTTTGTTGAAAAACCTCGAAGCAAAAAACCTGCAGATCAGATGTATGCTGAAAGAGAAGACAAACACGAGATAACTATATTTATATCCGGAGTTCTAGAAACTGACAATGAAGGTGAACCATGTGCCGCAGGTGGTGTTTGGTTTGGCCCTGGAGATGAACGAAATAAACCCATTGGAATTTCAGACCAGTTTTCTACTCGAAATAGCGGTGAACTTGCCGCAATTCTTCACGTCATACAAACCACACCTCCAAATTTAGGACTGAACTTCCGACTGAAGTCAAAGCATGTGATTCGAAAGCTGACCATCGATGTAGTCTCTTCCGAAGCATCTGGTTGGACTGGAGACAAAGACAAAACCCTGTTGACTACAATTGTGGCTGCACTCCGTGTACGAGGCAGTCAATCTTCCTTCTGTGAAGTAACCAACAATGAAGACCTTGAAAAAGTTGGATTGGCCAAAAGTCTTGCTCTTGCGGCCCTCGGTGACTACTCAGACGAAAATACCACCGACCCAGATGATCTCTTGACCACCGTCCCTCATCGATATCAACTCCAGGGAATATCTTTGGCACAATCATCTCAAGCCTTGTTTTACCGTGCAATCAGGGAAAGAAAGGCTCAACCAGAGCGCATGAAAACCTGTGTCATGTTGGATATAACACGCTACGCTGTAAAGGACCAATGTGGAAAGACCCCCTCTGATGAACAAATTTGGAAATCAATACGCGACAAGGATATAACACGTACAATTCGCGACTTCCTTTGGAGAGGTCTGCATCAATCCTACAAATGTGGTACTTACTGGCATAACATTCCTGGATATGAACACTGGGGAATATGCCACACTTGTCAAGTTGATGAAACTCTGGAACATATTCTGCTTGAGTGTTCAGCGCCGGGTCAGGATCTAATCTGGAAATTAGCGCGTGAACTGTGGGAGAAAAAGCATCGCAAACTGCCGACCATATCACTTGGTATGATTTTCGGCTGCGGCTTGGCTGAGTTCAAAGACACGAAAGGGAAGGAAATAAAAGAGGCGGATAGACTCTTCAAAATAATTATCTCTGAATCTGCTCACATGATTTGGAAGCTACGAAATGATCGTGTAATCTCAAACCACGTACTTTCAGATATTGGCATCCACAACAAATGGGTTATGTGTATGAACAAACGCTTGAGAATGGATCAACTTCTAACAGATATCTCTCGTTATGGAACTCGAGCAACCAGTATAGAATGTGTCCTGCAAACCTGGGACGGAGTCTTGATGGACAATCAAAATCTGCCAGAAAACTGGATCTGGCAGTCTGGAGTTTTAGTGGGTATGGGTATGTTGCGTCCTCCGGGGCGCAATCGCTAGTTGCTAGTGATAATTACCGAGTCCTACACTGCCACTTGATGGGCGTGCGTCAAGAGCATTTCTCCAGGGTGACTCGAGTAGTTTATTAAAGGGATATTGTCCCAAAACCTAGCCGGTACCAAGAGCTGATTAGATCAGTCTGCTTGTTGCCCTGTGGCTCCACCAAAAAAAAAAAAAAAAAAAAAGGGAATTCAACGAGGAATAGGGGGTTCGATTCCCTCCGAGGGCGTGATGTCGTCAGCCGTCTTTTTTTCTTTCTTTTTTTCACCTGGCCACCCTGTTTTTGAGCCTCCGTTCTCCTTGATACTTTAATAAATTCTGAACAAAAGCTACACGAGTGTAGCAAAACCTCCTTCTGTAATGACAATGTAGAGGTGTACCCAACCGACGTAATGTTTAATAGTCCATTCACCGCCCTGCCTGGCCGTGTAATTTGTTTGATTTTTTACCCATCTATAGCTGGTAGGAGTAGCCTCACAAGCCCTCGTCGACCATGGTGGTCGCCTCAACTTCATCATCTGCCATTTGTCCATCCCTCGTCGATGAGGAATCTGAGGGTTCGATTCCCTCCGAGGGCATTCGCTTATGGAAATCTCTTTTGTCTGGCCACCCTGTCCAAAATTCTGCCTCTCTTTCCACTTTGTAACAAAAAATCGGAAATGCATAAATAGTTTGACATGAGATGTTTCAGCTTCTGCGTATGTACCATGGCCACCCAGCGAATATCTATACCAGCTTATAACTCATAGAAAACATGCAATGAAGCTCTCGTGGACCGTGGTGGTTTCCTCAAGTTCATGGGCGTGCTTTCTTGCTAGTCAATGAGAAATGGGGGTTCGATTCCCTCCAAGGGCTTGCTGGGAGAAAGGGAAGTTTTTCTTCTTTTTGTCTGTGTTTGTTGATTCCGAACATCTCATCTCTCCTCCTATTTATTACACACTGTTTCTACCTGTGATCATGAACATCCAGATGTGTATAAATCACTTGGCGGTGGAGCCAGATCGGTGTCGGAAAAAAAAAGTCATTTGGTGTCAGAATTTGGTGCTTTAATCGCTTTCAACCTGCGCAACTTCTACAGCCAGGAGCTCCCGTATGCCATCCCAGCGAATATTGATGCCCACTTATAGCCAGGAGAAACCACGCAATGAAGCCCTCGTGGACCGTGGTGGTCACCTCGACTTCATAATGTCGTCTTTGAAATGTCAACGAAGAATAGGGGGGGTTCGATTCCCTCCGACGGCATTGATATTCAGTGAAGGATTTTTTTTCTTTGGTTTGGTTACGCTACGGTTCCGAATCCATTGCCCTCGCTCACTGAGATTGTCAATGCTTTCGAATGAAAGCTCCATCATCACATGTATGCAAAACGTTCCTCTGTACATGGTAGATTTAGCCTACCAATTATTACTGCGATATTTGCTTTCATAAGCAAATTTAGGCTTGGTGTAATCTGTTTGATTATGACACCACACTTATAACTCGGAGAAACCATGCAATGAAGCCCTCGTGGACCATGGTGCTCTCCTCGACTTCATATTGTGTTCTCTGAAGTCAACGAGGAATATGGGGTTCGATTCCCTCCGAGGGCGTGATGTTGTCATCCAGTTTTTTTTTTTTTTTTTTTTTTCACCTGGCTACCCTGTTTTTGAGCCTCCTTCTCCTTGATACTTCAATAGATTCTGAACAAAAGCTACACGAGTGTAGCAAAACCTCCTTCTGTAATGACAATGTAGTGGTGTACCCAACCGACGTAATGTTTAATAGTCCATTCACCGCACCGGGCCGCACAGTTTGTTTGATTTATGCCAACCCATATCTCGTAGTAAAGAAATCTGCAAGCCCTCGTCGACCGTGGTGGTCGCCTCGATTTCATTGCGTATTTGTTTTCCCCTGTCAATGAGGAATCTGAGGGTTCGATTCCCTCCGAGGGCATTCGCTTATGGAAATCTCTTTTGTCTGGCCACCCTGTCCAAAATTGTGCCTGCTCTCTTTCCACTTTGTAACAAAAAATCGGAAATGCATAAATAGTTCGACATGAGATGTTTCAGCTTCTGCGTATGTACCATGGCCACCCAGCAAATATTTATACCAGCTTATAACTCATAGAGAACATGCAATGAAGCCCTCGTGGACCATGGTGGTCGCCTCGACTTCATACTGTGTTCACTAAAGTCAACGAGGAATAGGGGTTCGATTCCCTCCGAGAGCTTACTGGGAGAAAGAGAGAGGTTTTTCTTCTTTTTGGAGTCTGTGTTCATCGATTCCGAACATCCCATCTCTCCTCCTAGTTATTATACACTGTTTCACTTTTTACATGTAACTTCCAGTTGTATATAAATCACGCGGTGCAGCCAGCCTACTGGTACCGGTGTCAGAATTATGCTTGCTTGTTTTCGACCGCATGACTTCTGCAGTAGGAAGCTCCTGTGCGTACCACCACAGCGAATATTTACGCCCACTTATAACTCATAGAGAACATGCAATGAAGCCCTCGTGGACCATGGTGGTAGCCTCGACTTCATAGGTGGACACAAGAGGTATGCGGAAGTGAAATTCATGACATCAACCTCGAGAAGTTTTGACATGCTGTGCACCCGAGGAGGAGGAGGGTACGGATCAGCGGTCCGGTGGGTAGGTACTGAGTTCACTCACAAATGTTTTGCAGCCCCTCTCCGCTTTCGCTCTATTCACTCGTCATCGCCAGAAATTTGATCTCTGAGTACTTGCCATCAAAAGATCAAACCGCTCACCACAATGTTTCGAGACAAAAATATAATATTCCGAGGACGCTGACATGCGCAGAGGATATGAAAATGGGAGGGTAGGCAAAATTGTGGAGAAATCCGACTCAAATGGAGACCGCAATTGAGAAGTTCTTGATTCTAGTGTGAAGAAGTGGCCGATCAGCACAGCTTTCCTATTTGAGGGGACCTGTCAACGAGGTCTGTGTGCGATCGGGGATTCCCGCCTACCTCTTGGGTGGACAAATGATTTGCAACGAGGAATAGGGGGTTCGATTCCCTCCGAGGGCGTGATGTCGTCAGCCATCTTTTTTTTTTGCTTTTTTTCACCTGGCCACCTTGTTTTTGAGCCTCCTTCTCTTTGATACTTCAATAGATTCTGAACAAAAGCTACACGGGTGTGTAGCAAAACCTATGACAATGTAGTGGTGTACCCAACCGATGTAATGATTGATGGTCCATTCACTGCACCGCCCTGCGTGATCTATTTGATTTTCTACCCATCTATAGCTGGTAGGAGTAGACTCGTAAGCCCTCGTCGACCGTGGTGTTCGCCTCGACTTCATCATCTGCCATTTGTCCATCCCTCGTCGATGAGAAATCCGAGGGTTCGATTCCCTCCGAGGGCATTCGCTTGTACAAACTTCTTTTGTCTGGCCACTCTCTCCAAAATTCTCCCTGCTCTCCCTCCACTTTCCAACGAAAACCAGACATGTGCAAATAAATAATGTGGTGCATTCGACAGCCAGTACGTGTTTGCATAGTGCTGGAATATGCAGTTTCTGCAGTAAGTATGGGCCGTGGCCACCGCAGCAAACGTTTATACCAGTCTATAGCTGGTAGGAAGTAGATTCACAAGCCCTTGTGGACCATGGTGGTCACCTCGTTCTATTAAGTCAAAATCTTTGGGGAATTCAACGAGGAATAGGGGGGTTCGATTCCCTCCGAGGGCGTGATGTCGTCAGCCGTCTTTTTTTTCTTTCTTTTTCTCACCTGGCCACCCTGTTTTTGAGCCTCCGTTCTCCTTGATACTTTAATAAATTCTGAACAAAAGCTACACGAGTGTGTAGCAAAACCTCCTTCTGTAATAACAATGTAGAGGTGTACCCTACCGACGTAATGTTTAATAGTCCATTCACCGCCCCGCCCGGCTGTGTAATTTGTTTGATTTAGGCCCACCTATGTATAGCTCGCAGGAAGTAGCCCTCGTGGACCGTGGTGGTCGCCTCGACTTCATCATCCGGCATTTGTCCATCCCTTGTCGATGAGGAATCTGAGGGTTCGATTCCCTCCGAGGGCATTCGCTTGTGCAAACTTCTTTTGTCTGCCACTCTCTCCAAAATTCTCTCTGCTCTCCCCCAATTTTCCAATGAAAACCAAACATGGAGAAGGAATTCGGTCACTGGCATCAGAATAATGCTTGCCCTAGATTTCCACCCGCGCAACTTCTACAGCCAGGAGCTCCCGTATATGCCATCCCAGCAAATATTTATGCTCACTTATAGCTCGGACAATCCATGCCATGAAGCCCTCGTGGACCGTGGTGGTCGCCTCGACTTCATCATCTGCCATTTGTCCATCCCTCGTCGATGAGGAATCTGAGGGTTCGATTCCCTCCGAGGGCATTCGCTTGTGCAAAAGTTGTTTTTGTCTGGCCACTCTCCAAAATTCTCCCTGCTCTCCCTCAATTTTCCAATTAAAACCAAACGTGGAAAAGGAATTCGGTCACTGGCGTCGGAATTTGATGCTTGCCCTAAATTTCCACCTAAATTTCCACCTGCGCAACTTCTTCAGCCACGAAGCTCCCGTGTGCCATCCCAGAGAATATTTATGCCCACTTATAGCTCGGACAAACCATACAATGAAGCCCTCATGGACCAGGGTGGTCACCTCGACTTCATACGTTCGCATACATTTGGAACGAGGGATAGAGTGTTCGATTCACTCCGTGGGCATGAAATGTGGTTAAATCAACCTTTTTATTTGATTTTCTGGAAAGGTATGCTGTTCTGAATATCAACATGTCTTTCTCCCAGTTTTAGCCTTCAAACGTGAAACAGTCCAGTTCGAATTTCCCGTTGCATTTGATTTCCACTGGCCCAACACCCTCCTTTGTTGCACACCCAGTCATAGCTTGGAGAAACCACGCAATGAAGCCCTCGTGGACCGTGGTGGTCACCTCGACTTCATAATGTCGTCTTTGAAATGTCAACGAAGAATAGGGGGGGTTCGATTCCCTCCGACGGCATTGATATTGAGTGAAGGATTTGTTTTCTTTGGTTTGGTTACACTACGGTTCCGAATCCATTGCCCTTGCTCACTGACATTGTCAATGCTTTTGAACAAAAGCTCCATCGTCCCATGTGTAGCAAAACGTTCCTCTGTGCATGGTAGATGTAGCCTGATACTAATTATTACTACGATATTTGATCATGATCAGCAAGTTTATGCTTGGCGTACTTAATGTGTTTGATTATGACAGCACACTTATAACTCGGAGAAACTAACAATGAAGCCCTCGTCGACCACGGTGGTCGCCTCGACTTCATCATCTGCCATTCGTCCATCCCTCGTCGATGAGAAATCTGAGGGTTCGATTCCCTCCGAGGGCATTCGCTTACGGAAATCTCTTTTGTCTGGCCACCCTGTCCAAAATTTTCTCTGCTCTCCCCCAATTTTCCAATGAAAACCAAACGTGGAAAAGGAATTTGGTGACTGGTGTCGGAATTCAATGCTTGCCCTAGATTTCCACCCGCGCAACTTCTACAGCCAGGAGCTCCCGTATATGCCATCCCAGCAAATATTTATGCTCACTTATAGCTCGGACAATCCATGCCATGAAGCCCTCGTGGACCGTGGTGGTCTTCTCGACCTCATACGTTCGCATACATTTGGAACGAGGAATGCTCAAAGGGTTCGATTCCCTCCGAGGGCATAAGATGGCTCAAACCATTCTTTTCTATTTTATTCCTGGTACCGTTACCAGGTCTCAAAAGCGAATTGTCAATCCGCCTGTCATGCACCGATCATGTCGGATGCCCGGTCCGAAGAGCAAAATTAAATATTTAAAGAAATAATTAAACCTTCTCCCCTCAAGAATTCTGTTACTCAAGATTGATTCAAGGTATTGGCCACCAACAGATAGACTAGTACTGACCGAGTCCGAGTCCCTGAGTGAACAATGTAACTTTTCTCATTCTCGGAGGATGCATGTGAGCCATAAATCATTTTCTGAGTCACAATACTTGCTGGTAAATTTGGTGCTATCAATTTCGGCCAAGCTTCTACCACATATTGAAATCCCTCGGCTTCAGATATCTCTGATCTTTCTCCTGGTGCCGTGAGGAGCGACCGAAGGTCGGCGACGAGCGGCACGCACAGCAGACAATGGCCAACAGATTTTGAGTTATATAGTTTAATTTTATGGCCCTGGTTTCAGACTTTCAGTGTGTAGCACCAGGTCCAATCATTGGTACCAGGGGTGCCCGGAGGGCCTTGGTATTTTTCATTTTTATTGGCGTGTAAGCTTTCTGTTCCGAATCCCGCCTATCAACACTCCTCCTTGCTCCCTACCTTCACGTTTCAACCAACTGGACCCAACCCCATCGAATCTAACATCTCTGATGTTCCATCGAATGCATGCTCTAATTCAACAACTACCAGTCCACTGCAGTAGTTGCAACAGCAGTGAGTATTAGATACACGCCCACCTATAGCTTGCACAAAGTGGATTCACGAGCCCTTGCCGACCATGATGGTCTTCTCGACTTCATAGGTGCGACTGCGAGATCTGCAACAAGGAATAGAGAGTTTGATTCCCTTTGAGGGCATGAGCTCGAGATTGAAACATTTCTTTTTCTTTTTTGTCCTTTCACCCTGTGTTAGGTCACACCGAATATGGAATTATATCAACTTACCACAAAATTGATAGGAAAGTAGGACAATCTGGCACACAATTTAGGTGAGGAGATTTTACCTCATTTCTTACAGCGAGAAAGTGCACCGGATTTAGCAGCAATACAGAGCTGTTTTCAATGCCTTTTAATTCTCCTCTTTCTTTGAGGCATGAAAGGCTCACGGAAACCTGAACTTTATGCTATCGTTTCCAATTGTGAGGACTGAAGTTCTTTCCAAAAATTGAAACAAAGGAGAACAAAGGAATTCTGGAAAGGGGTTCTTTTCTACCAGTTGGAAATGGCCACTTGAAAGCACTTCTTTGTTTTGAATGGAAAAAGATCATCTTTCCACACACCTTTCCTACTTCAGAGAAAGATCATCAATACATAACCAGGAAATACCCACAGATTGTGGCCAAATTCAGGCGACTTTCTAGGCTAAGAAAAGAGGCAAAATCTACTGGCTTGAATTTTGTGCTTGCTTGACCGAATTTCTGTTCACATTTCAGGGTAAGTTGATATAATTCCATATTTGGTGTGGGTCCTGTCTTCCCCTTGCTCGGAGACTACATCTTAACGAAAGCTACATAGGTAGCAAATCATTCCTCTGTACACGCTAGATGTAGCCTACCGATTATGACTGTCATGTTTGCGAATTTATGCTAGTCGGTTCACTGCCCTGCATAGTCTGTTTGATCATGACAGCTCACTTATAACTCGGAGAAACCATGCAATTAAGCCCTCGTGGACCATGGTGGTTGCCTCGATCACAAATATTTGCAAGCAGGAATAGGGGGTTCGATTCCCTCCGAGGGCATGAGAGTAGTAGACCACACTTGTTTTTGTTTGTTGTGTAAGTTTTCTGTTCGGAATCCCGCCTATCAACACTCCTCCTTGCTCCCTTGACTTTTGAACCAACCCCATTGAATCTATCATCTGATCTTCCACTGAAGCCACGCTCTAAGTTATTTAACAACTACCTCTAATTTAACAACAGTCCACTGCAGTAGTTGCAACAGCCTTACTGGATTCACGCCGGTCCATAGCTCACACGAAGCGGATTCAAAAGCCCTCGTCAACCGTAGTGGTCATCTCGAGTCCATGAAATTGAGGACAGACTTTCAAACAAGCAATCGGGGGTTTGATTCCCACCGAGGGCATGGGTTTGGGTACAAGGTTCTTTTTTTTCGGTCTGAGTAAGCTGTTCCGAATCCATCTTCCCATTTGATGCCCAAGACCGAACATCCAACCTCTACAGTATGCCCCACCCCACTGAATACTTCTACTGATGTGTAGCACAGGGAGGATAAGCAAAAAATCGAAGCTGTAACATTGAAAGAATATGGGAAACATATTTACAATATCTTTCAGATGACTGTTGCCGGCTGTTGGGTGGAATATACAGAACATATTTGAAGAATGTCCTTTGTTCTTGCTTTGTTCAAGACTTTCTTTGTATAAGGTTCTGGTTTTCCAATCTCGAATACCTGAAACTTATTGTAAATATGTTTCCCATATCTTCTACATATTCTCGCATGGTTTTTCTGCTTATCCTTGTTGTGTAGCTAGCAAGTGGTTCAAATTTGGTGACATTTTTGTCTTCTGTGCGTTGGTCTTTACTTTGGCAACCATTGTTTTGGGCCTGCAAGCAACACCATTTATGTGGCCACCCTTGGACCCACTCTGATGTTTTCTGCCAATTGTACAATTACTTTCCCTCTTGCGCAGCTTGTCAGAATGTGTTCGTACAGTGTGCATCACCACTTCTCGACTACCGCTTTTGGTGTAAATTGATGGGAAATTTATAATTGTTTCTTGGGCCGGAAAAAAAGCCTTATGTCCTGGGAAACAGTGTAAATCAACTCAGTTTGACAGTAGCTATCCAAATCATAAAGGATTAAGGACTGGGAGACGTTTTCACTTTTTTGACCCCGAAAAAAATGACTGATTGGTCAGCATTGCACAGCCACAGTCCGGTAACCGGCCGCTTGGAGGTGCGGGCCGTCATCTATCAAAGTTTTTTTACCCTGGCATGTGTATTTGGAGCCCTTTTCAACTGTTAGATCCCAGAAAACAGGCAAAAAAAAACATGTCAAAAAGTGACGGATTACGCAAGGAAACCTGTTCTTAGTGCCATTCACATTCTTTTCATCGGGTTTCTTATCAAAATTTTAATCTCAGAGTCTAATTCCGGCCCAAAAGGTCTGGGCATCAGTTGCAAGGAAGTGATGCAGCGCACTGTAAGGTTTCTGCACATCATCAAACACGACACCGAGTCCGTAACCGGTTTCACTTTCCTGCTGGTATTCAGCACCACGAACAAATGACTCAACATACCGACCCACCTTCCGCGATGAGTTATTGCAATGAGATCTGGCTTCTTATTGACCAGAGCATACGAAACAAATCAACCTGAAACCCGGATGCTGGTTAATCGAAGAGGCATGCTTCCACATCCTGAGCGTTCCACTCAATATTCTAGGAGTTAAAACGGCCCGCAAAGTGGAAAGGAACGAGGGCAATTCGTCCCGGGAGTGTAACTACGGCCCAGTGGAGAGCAAGGTTGACGTGCAGGTTAACGTGTTACAGTGTTAGGAACATATGTGCATACTAAGGAGCTTTGAGGATTAACGAAATCAGCATTGTGCTGCAGATCACAACTCTGGAACTGTTGGGCCCCACTGCGGTGCAAATGAACCGGTTGAACAAAGGCCAGGACGCAGAGCGCTGGTGAACAAGGGCAAAATATACGTGAAGTGAATTTGCGAGAAACAGGAATGCGAGCACAGAAAAAAGCATGGGAACACATTTTTTATGCAGATGGAAACAAAATTTAGATTTCCTTACTTAATGGACGCCTGGGCCCTCGTTTACCAAAATATTTGTGACCTCCTCCCCACGCGCCCACATCCCCTCGTCCTCGAGACACTGCAAAAAATTGTCGTGTGACGCGAATGGCCCGTCGATGCGCTTGATCATTGTCCCCTAAAATAAATCATAGTTTGCCGAGGTTGCTTGTACAGGTCTCAGGGAAAAATAACAGCCGTACAATCTTTTCTGACGTGAACTTGAACTTGAACTTGAACTTGAATTCTATATTAGCCGTACCTGGCCATGATGGCTAAGCAGCAGTACTCTAGGTAATCTAGGAAGGGTAATCTAATAGAACTATGCTGGGTTTTGGGAGGTTATCGATTATATGTATCCGAGTGAAAATGAGAAGTAGAGTGCGGATGGGGAAACAGTAGCCTTGAGTGATAACAAATATGTAGTTGGGACGGGGGGTCATAACATGCAGAGGACGAGGGATAACAATGGTTTTTGGGGCATGATTGTGAATTATGGTTGCGATGTAAAGTAAGGAAACTTCTAAGTACAGTAGGAAAGAGAAAAGAGAAAAATAAAGGAAGCAGAAGTGGGCTCAGCTGAATCGACCAGTTGAGACAACAAACTTGGTGAGGGCTTTAAGCAACTTAGGGTGCGACAGGAGGGACCGAACGTCAGACGTGAGCAATGAAGTTTTACACAGTTTGCCAGCCAAAATAAGATACAAATGATAGACTTGCTAGGAAAATCACTTCATGGTCTCCCATAGAAAATTCAAGCATGGAAAATATTTTTGGGACCCTCAAATCACTTTACTGTATTATTTCGTTCAATTCGACCGTCACGCGTCACACACCCCTTGGTTGATGGCGAATTTCGGTCGTTTGTCCCGCGTCACGCGGGGCTTGGTCGAACACCAATTTCGTCACGCAGGACCCAAAATCGTGTTTTTCAGCTCTGCGACGCGAAAAATGCTAAATTTCCAATTCCCTGGTCGAAATTTGCCCGTTTGTCACGCAAAATTTGGCCCTTGGTCGGATGGTCGAACTGGTAGAAAATGTCACGCGTCACGCCCCAGGTCGAACTGAACGAAATAATACAGTATACAAGGGGAAAAAAAGCTTCAGACAATTTTCTAAGCTTGTGGGAATGTCGAAAACGTGACCACACATAATGAAAATCCGGAGTCTTAGGTCACCGGTGCCAACTGAATCAGACTCCATAACCATATTTTATCGACTATCATAAACTATGTGTTTATGGAGTCTGGCTACGGGAGACTAGTGTTTGGTAGCTTCAGGAGGAAGACAGGGTTCGATTCCCTGGGTTCGGATCACATCTCCGGGTGATCTTTTTAAATTTTCTCCATTTTTCAGCAGTGGACTTGACTCCAAACCGAAAATGACAGTGTATAGTACAGCAAGCAATGCACCTCGTGAGTCGAGGAAAAATTCGCTGTCTTATGACTATGCAGAAATAAATCTGGTTTCATAATCATACTCAGCTCTCAGGAACCTATGAGCTGAGAGTTGAGGGATTGAGGTGGATGTTGAATTTGAATAAGGTTTATTATTTGCTGTGCAGACTCCTTCCAAAGTAGACTAAGCAAGATCCCCATGCAGAGAATGAATTTCACTTGGTGTATGGTGCACACCTCCAAATGGTACGATGTATCCTTGTCTCTTTGATTATCTATGGAGGTAGAGGGGTTCGATTCCCTGGGTTCGAATGTACCAGCCTTGGCTAGCTTTGTCTTCTGCAGGCAAACTCAATTCATTGGTTTACTGTACCGTACTCCAACAAGGATCCCGAAGGTTAACTCAAACCAAGTGACCCTGTGCATGATGTGCAGAGGCATACACCAAGGGTTCCCCTCAGCATTGCTGCTGTTGCGAAAATCAAACACACTAATCGAGTTTCACATAACAGAGGAACAATCGAACCTGGTGTATGGTGCACACCTCCGAGTAATATATGCCTACCACATTAATATTCAGGAGGAGGAAGACGGGGTTCGATTCCTCGACAGTCGCATTTCTTTTTTCCCTACCTGCTATCCTTGCTTGGCTGCTTTAACACAGAGGGCCCTCTTGAGTCTCAATATTCTAACTTCTTCAATTTCGGCTATCTCAAGCTTTGCTGTCAGCTTAAACTAGGATTGCATCCGTTTAACTTCAATAAGCAGACTGCAGCCCTCAACACGAAAAAGTACCAGTAGAAGCAGACAATCTTGTCAGGGTTCCCATACAGACAAATAATTGAACGTGGTGTAGGATGTACAACTCATGATGGTACTTCTGAGTATCGCTGCTGGTATCACCAAAATTAACTACTCCAAGCAAGGTTTGCATACAGAGAAAGAATTGAACCTAGTGCATGGTGCACAACTCCAAGCCATATTGCAGGACTGTTGTTTACATTCGGGAGGAAGATGGGGTTCGATTCCCCGGGTTCGAATCCGTTCGTAGCGCGCCTTTTTTTTTTAATTGCTGCACACCTCGCTCACACTAAAATTCCAGTACAGCAAGTATAAGGAAGGATAAATCAACTCGGGTCGCGATGTGTGCGTAACATGTGCAAAGTTCATATCACAGCCAAATCACAGCAGTAATTATGGCCCTTCAAGTTTGCTGGTTTTCCCTCAAACGCTAATCATACGGATGTAGGTTCCATTATTATCCGTTCTTTAACGAAATGGCCCTCAAGCTGTGCTTGAACCCCCATTTAGCGTTTCCCCATAACTAATCCTCTGTTCAACCACTATGTTTAACCCCATACAGAGCCTTTCAGCTGACCTCCTTTTGCAGTGCCGATTCTTCCCTTGATCCCGAAACCAGACCCATGACCACCTACGCAGCGACAGACATGCTACGCACTGTGCACTGCGGTTGTCTCCTAATCGGGCCTTCTTTGCTTTTCTGGCAAATGTGCAGCCGCCGCGGCCCGCAGCACTGGCTTGGCTTGGCTACATTTATATCCACCCGTCAATTT